CCCTGTAGGCCCTGTAGACCCTGTAGGCCCTGTAGGCCCTGTAGGCCCTGTACTAAATACATAAATAGTCCTAACACCAGTAATTCAAAGGAGAGAGGGTGGATTGGAATAGTCAAAGGTGGCTCTGGGCTGTGGGCCTCAGGGGTTAGTCACTATTTAGGAGGGAGTGGCAGGGGCTCACTCCAAGAGTCGGGGAGTAGCCAGCTTCACCAGAAGGGAAGGCAGGCCAAGGCTGTGAGGGGCCTGAAATCCCGGCAGGAGATCAGCCTCCTGACTGCATGGCAGGCTGTCTGTAGGGTCTTTGTTCGCACACAGCAGCGACTTCCACGGCGGCTGTTTGGGACTCGTACATGGCACAGCTAATGTTTTTGATGTCCCCTTCCTTCCTGTCCTCTCTTCCCTCCATCACTTAAATGCAGCTCTGACTAGTCATGATCCTCCTGTCTTCAGCCTCCCCAGTGCTGGGGTTACAGGCATGCACCATCATGGAGGTCTTGGCGACCAGCCCAGCACGCCACGCCCGGGGGCGGAGCTGGTACAGCACGTGGAACCGGGGATTGAACCCTGATCCCTGTGCTTGCCCTGGGGCTTAGTCCACTGAGCTATCTCACCGGCCCTTTAATTTTATTTTCAAGTGAAAGAAAACACACACCAAAAAAATTCCAAAGCGATATGATGAAGGGTAACAGTGGTTAAATACATTGCATATTGTTTTCCTTTTTTTAAAGAAAAATTTTAAATAGCAAAAAAAGCCATTAGAAAAAATACAAAATTTCACTAAACAAAATGATAGGAATTCAACAATGGTTCTTCTATTGCATATTGGAAGTAAAACAATTAGACCCAGGGAAGTTAAAAATATTCCTAAAAAGAAATGTTCAATATCACAGGTCATTAGAGAGAGGCTCATTAAAACAACACTGAGATTCCATCTCTCCACAGAAAGAATGGCTGTCCTCAAGAAGGCAACCAATAACAAAAGCTGGAGGAGGGGGGCAGGGAGATGGCTCAGTAGAATAAGCGCTTGCCTGGCAAGCGCAAGGGCCTGAGTTCAACCTCCAGTTCCACAAAAAAAATTTTTTAAAAAAGCTGGAGGGGCTGTGGGGAAAAGGAACCCTTCTCCCCTGCTGGTGGGAGTGCAGGTGGAACAACCGTGGTGGCTGATCGGGGTGGATATCCCTTAGGTCCCGTTTGACCCAGCTATTCTGCCTCTGAGTATCTTCCCAGACAAAAGCATAACGCCACAGTGATACTTGTGCACACATGTTTATTACAGCACAATTGGTAACAGAAAACCTTTGGAAATACCACAAATGCCCATCAACCAAGGCATGGGCAAAAAAGATACAGTCTTTTGATACAATGGAGTACTACTCGGCCATAACAAAGGCTGAACTGGAGACTTCCGTAGGTAAATGGATGCAAATCAAGGTCATGCCCGTAAGTAAAATAAATCAGACTCATTGTGAAAGTACTATAGTGTCTCCCTGAGGTGAGGAGCTCAGAGAGTAAATAAGATATTATAAATGTATATTAATTCTGGAAATAATGTCGTGGTAGCCTTCCAAGGTTTTTCTTTGTTTCCAAAAATTTTAATGATTTCAAGTCTTTTGAATTTTCATATCAATTTTAGAAAACCCTGCCAATTGTGAAGAAAACTGAAATGTTCATTAAAATTAGATTATCAGATTAGTCTTTGGAAAATTGCTGTCTTCCAGTGTTCCACCTCAGAACATTTCTTGAGATCTTCAACTTCTCTGTAGCTTTCTAGTATTCTGTATGTAAGTCTTGCCAATTTTGTGGTGAGATTTGTCAGTATCTCATAATTTAATACTCTTGTAAAGGATGTGTCTTGTTTTTGTTTGTTCCGTGAAGTGGAAGTAGGGTTGCTGTTCAACAAACAATCGTTAATTTTTTTCAATTTCCCAAAGCTCTAAAGAAATCTATTCCTAAAGCGCCTGATAGAGTTGAGAGCTGAGCCCGGCCCTGACGGACCCGGAAGCTCACATTCGTTCTCCTCCTGGCAGGGAGAGAGAGGTACAGAAGCCATGGCAGAGGGGCAACTAGGCATCAGGGAGTGGAGAGAACTTGCAGACAGAAAAAACGGCAGAGAAACGTGGAGGATCTCAGCTTAGGAGTCGGGAACGGAGCCCAAGTGTGGAAAGGAAGTGACTTAATTTTCATACCCCCTGAACATACTTACTTCTCAAGCTGAGGGTTGTTGCATTTTGTTTTGTTTTGTCTTTTTGAGGCAGGGCTCAGGTTGGCCTCGAATTCCCAGTGATCATCCTGCCTCAGCCTCCCAAGTGCTAGGATTACAGGTGTGCACCACCACACCTGACTCTAAGCCTAGGTTTAATGTTACATGAATTTCTTTTTTTTGAATTGTAACTTTAAAAAGTACACACAGTAAAAATTTAACAAAAAATTAGTAAGAAGAAAACAAATCACCTACCATTCATTCACAGTAAAAGAACTAGGTTTTTTTTTAATTTTGTATGTTTTTTCTGCACACATTACAAATGGTTGTGATACATCTTCTATATGGGACAGATAGTTCCATAAAATTTGCATCCCATATATGTGTGTGTGTGTGTGTGTGTGTGTGTGTGTTGTCCCATTTTACTGAAAATTATTTAAAATTCAATATTTTTGTAACTTTCAACCTTTCAATTTTGGGGGGGTTGTTTGTTTATTTGTTTGTTTGTGTTGGCTAGATCAGGCTGACTTCAGGGCGAGTCTGGTACAGCTGGGGATCGAACCGCGGTCCTACGTGCCTGACTGCATTTGCCCAAGCAGCGCTTTAAACAACTGAGCCATCCAGCAAGCCCCCTCAACTTTTCAATTTTGTATATTCCCTCTATTACTCATCTAATTTTTCACCCATTGTAGGGCATTTATACTTATTAATTTGCTTTTTAAAAATGATTCATTTTAACTTCATTCAATATCAAGCAAATTCATGAGTCACTTGTATTTTTCTCCTTTGAGCATAATTTTTCATAATCTTAAAGGATTTAGAATAGTTATATCCCTTCATTTTACCCTTCATGGCCCAAACTAGAGTGAAGTGTTGATCACGTGTGATTTTATCCTTAGATTTGAGACGACAATGACATCTTGGGGCCCCATGGTTTCTTCCATCAACGACATTGCTGAAAACGTTAACCACAAGACATACTGGCAGTTCCTGAGTGATGGGACGCCGCTGAATGAAGGTAAGAAGAGAAAAAGACCCTCATTTCTTCCGGAGTCTGAAGGCGTCGTTCATTAATCATTTAACTCTTTCATTCACTTAAGCAACAGGTCACTGTCAGATTGCTTGTGCAGCTGCAGTTGTATCATGAGTTGTGCATTTGTACACACAGACACACACACACACACACACACACACACACACACAATTTTAGGCAGATAAAGCAACTTTTTAAGGATTCCTGACTTTTACAGAAAGGAAACCCATTCTTCACCTTCTTTTTTCATGTTATTTTTTAAATCTCTACGGAAAGGCATCTGGATGCCCACGTGTTTGGGCAGACCCCAACCACGTCTTAACATTCACTAAAGTTTCTACAAACACTAGAACATCCTCCAACTTAAAAGCACAGGAGGGCGCTCTGCCTCAGGGGACGTGACCTTGTCATGCTGCTGCTCACTGTCACCCGTGGAGGAACGGGAATGGCAAACCCAGTCACAGCGCAGCAACAGCTTTCGCTTGGTAAAAGGCTCCATCACCCAGTGTCCCCATGGAGCGCGGTCTTGCTTAGCACCTACCGACTAGCTAACAAGCCTGGTGGCCCCAAGTCTGTAGATCGCAGCAACTCACACAAGGAAAGTCTTGGAGTCACACAAGATTTAAAGCTCCTTTTCTTATGCACGGACCACATATTCAAGCAGTCCACGGTGTTCAGGCCACAGACTGTACCGTTATAAAGGGCAAAGAGCAGTAACCATTTCCTGAGTTATTGCGAGGATTAGAAACAGTGTGTTTTAAATTATGATAGTGCCTTTTGTATGGAATGTGTTAAAATGCCTATTTTTTAAAATTAGTTTTTGTTTTCCTACTGTCTTTCTCAAGAAACTGCCCCAGGAACTTAAATTAGGTTGATTTTTGTTTTGAGGCAGGGTCTCCAATGTCGTTCCAACTGGCCTCGTAGTCGCTGTGTAGCCAGTGTTGGCCTCGACCTTGCAGCCACCCTCCTGCCCCCCCCCAGCACTGGGGTTCTAGGCGTGCGCCCCTACACCAGCCTGGCCTCAGGCTTGCCAGTTATGTACAGTGGTCCCTCACTCATCGTGGAGGGCACATTCCAGACACACACGCCCCCACACGATAAGGGAAACTCAGTGAGGTAGCGACATTATATTTGTTTGAGTATTTATATATATTTTAAGGCTTCATAAACCCTTCCACATTGGGGGCCGGGGAGATGGCTCAGTGGAATAAGTGCTTCCCTGGCAAGCGCAAGGGCCTAAGTTCAATCCCTGGTTCTGGAAAAAAAAACAAAAAAAACAAAAACCCTTCCACATTCTTACAAACCCTTCCCACACTTATAAACCTTTCCCACACTTTTAAAAATACTTCTAATGTTCTTAACCATTTCTAAATTTATAAACCCACATAATTTTAACAACATACACATACTGTGCGGCACTAAAAAAATCATGCAGTATAGCACAAAATCCACAATAACTAATTTAGATCAATATTTTTTGAAAACTCCCAAAACAGTGATTCCACGGAAGTCAAACTGAGAAACAGCAAGGGACTACTATACTTTTCTTCTCTAGAAGAAAGGAGGGTAGAGGAGAAATCTCTGAGACCTAAAAAATATCTGGCCTGAAATAGTCCTTCTTTCTCTTGCCTGAACTATATGAAAAATAATGGATGTTGTCATCAACAGTGTTCCTGTCCTGAGAGACAAGCGTTGTCAATCACTGTCCTTCCTGATTTCTCACAAAATCTTCAAAAGTGGCCATGAGCTACAACTTTGAATGCTCTCAACATGGCCTAAATAAGTCACTTTGATAATAATTGATTGCACAACTCTTATCCAGTGGGTGCCATACTAGCGCCCAGCCATCATTACCTCTAATCCTGAAATCTTCAGAAGGACTAGTGTGACGAAGTCCCCAGGTGTCACAGCTGGTAGCTGGATGTCCCCCCGAAGCCTCATGCAGTCACAGGTCGGGCCTTTCAGAGCTGGCTGGGCTGACAGTGTGTGATTACTAAATTAGTACGCTGATTATTTGGCACAGTTCTGCAGGGATCCAGGACATAATGCTGGGATTGCTTCCTGGTGCAATGCTGGCATTAAGGGCGTGTGTGTGGCCCTCCTACACACAGGTAGCCCGGGTAGGACAGAAGGGACAGAAAGCACCTTGTCGCTGTCCACTTGCCTGCTTTTGCCATCTTCTGCCTGCTGTGTTCTTTCCTCCTCTGCCACGTGCCACCCTGCCCTGGAGCCTGCTGAAACTCCACGAACTGTGAGCCGCATAAACCCTCCTCCTCTAACTTTGGGTGCCAGATATTTTGTCTTACCCACAAGAAAGGTAACTAGGACACTGTGTAGGGGAAAGGGCACACATAAAGGCTTTCTCCACTAAGTGGTGACCTGTGGCTAGAAATGAGAACGCCCTGAAGCCCACTTCCATATTTCTTCCAGGCCTGCTCATCCCGTCAGGGATGGCGGCGTGCACCAGGGTCACCTTGGGTTATGTTCTGCTTCTTCCTAGGGGTTGCCGTGTACATTCCCTTCAACCACGAGCACATCATAGCCAACTTCACCCAGTACTGAGGTGGAGGCGGGTGCCGCTTCTGCTGAGCACCTTCAATGGATGCAGGAAGATTTCCCACTTGATTTCAAGTCTATGCCAAAAAGTGGGAATCTCCAGCACTCCCCTGAGCCCGCTTGTGACACAGGAGACCTCTGTGCAGAATAATCAATACCCCAACATCTGTGAGTCGTGCAATAAAATCTCCAGCTTCTGAACGCAAGGACTGCTGTCATCATTTAACCCCAGGGCAGCGATGGCGAACCCTTCAGAGCTTTCACGTTTGCGAGCAGCCCGCTGCAGCACCAAGTGCCTTAGGTTCGCCACCACTGCTCTAGGGAGACCGGGAGAGGAAGTTCCCCTGGAGATGTTTTTTTCTTTAATATATTTAGTACAGGGTCTCCAGGGTATCACTACATAGACTAAACTCATAGTGAGCCTCTTGTTTTCAACCTCCCAAGCGCTGGGATTACAGGCGTGTGCCACCACGCACAGTCTCAATCGCCGGCTCAGTGCACCCCCGCGAGTGGGGCCCGCACAGCATGAACTGGGAATTGAACCCCGGTCCCTGTGTCTGCCTAAGCAGGCACTTTAACCTGCTGAGCTGGCCGCGCCCACCCCCCCACCCCCCCACCCCGTGATATTTTTAGAGGTCATTCTGGTTTATTTTTTGGTTTTGGTGCCGAGAACCAAGCCCAGGGCTTCCTGCTTGCTATGCAAGTGTTCTATCACCGAGCTAACTCCCAGCCCCTTAGAGGTCATTCTGATCTTTATCGATTCAACAATCCACTCCCTATTTCTACAAATGAAATAGGTTTCAAATATCTAGTTTGTGTCTCTTATACTAAATGCCCCTTTAAAAATCACTTAATGGAGGGCCGGCCTGATAGCTCAGCCGACTGAAGCGCCTGCTTAGGCAGAGCACAGCGGCCGGCCGGGTCGACCCCGCAGTGCTGAGCTGGCCCCGCCCCTGGGGCGCGCTGAGACCGGATTGAGATTGGGTGTGGTGGCACGCACCTGTAATCCCAGCGCTTGGGAGGCTGAACACAGGAGAATCACTACGAGTCCACTCTACATAATACGACCCTGTAGACCCTGTCCTAAATACAGAAAGAAAAAAAAAAAAAAATATA